CAATGGTCGGTGGCAGCAATCCTTGATGATGGTTGACGGCTATGAATGAAAGAAGTTATCGTCAAGTATTCAGTCCAGAACAGGATCTGGAATTTCTCTTCTTCCCATTTCCCTCTCAAGTGAAGAGAGGTTGTTTAATTTATATTTTTTTAGGGTAGGGGTATTTTGGTATTTTGGTGAAAATCGTGCAGTGATATCTCTCGGTGAGGTCAAAATACCACCATAAACCCAAAATAACTTCTGATAACCCCATAAATACTATCTGCGGTAAGGTCAAAAATAACACCACAAATATCGTGAAATCACCGAGGAATAACACGATGCACCACGGAAACCCGCTGAGAAATAACACAAAGCACCACAGAAACACACGAAACACCAATACAACCGCCATACAGTGGGAAATTACCGCATATAACACCAAGCGCGCGGGAGTAACACTGTGAAAAACACACAAGAATGTGATAACACAAAAAACAACGGAGCCTTGAGTGTAAAGCTAGGAATAAAACCTTTGATAACATCGAGAATACCATCTCTAGAGAGAAGAATAAAGTCGTCGATAACACCACTAAATCGCAGAAAATCTTTTCCAATGAGAGAACACGTAGACATTGATAAGGTATTTTTGAGATAAAAAAAAAGAAAGACCATAGCAAACAGAGAGGTGGGTTAATCATGGTGGGTGAGTTTTTCTCTCCCAATTCCTCTGGTTCTAGGGAGGGAGTCCAACAATAAACTATTATGTGTAATTCCATCCGAAACTATCAAACAACCATCATGAGAATGCATGAGTTCTAGCATTCATTTTTTCTTTTTTTTAGTTTTTTGAACGTGACATCCATCTACTAGTGCTTGATCCATCTGATCAATTAGTGGATCTGCACTGGAGAGCTCGCCCAAGGGGGTATGCTAATCCGAAAATTGTTGAACAGTTTCTTCTTGCTGTCCACCTTGATCTTGACACTCTTCCATTACTTGAGTACCCGTCTCTCTAGCAATAGAGAGAGTTCCAAAACTATTAGGGAATCATCTGCTACAACCAAATGATTTAGTAGCAGTATGAAATTTTATGATATGAGGAAAACCTTCCTCAACAATACTGGGAAGTGCCTGAGGAAATGGTTGGGGAGGAACAAACTAATGAGACAAAGTGTTATTCAACCTTTCTGTAAGATCTTTATTTTCAGTCTCTTCTTCAGCAATATGTGGTTCCAATGGGGGTTGAAGTAGCGAGGGATTCCCCTCAGGGGCAATTTAATTAGTACCAATATCCTCTCTAGTTGCAGTTTCCACCATCACAACTGGTGGAATAAATGGTTCTTGAGTAGTGTGGTGAGCCACATAAGTGTGTAAATCAAGATGCACTTGAGTGTTGGATCTCAAGTTAGGGTGGAGCATGTAACATTTGTCAAGTGTGTGCCAAAACATCATACTATAGGTGCAATAATATGGTCTATATTCCATCATAATTTCTTGTGAATACCCATTGTGTGTCGTGCCAAGCCAAACTTCTTCAACTTCAGGTAAGGTGATATTTAAGTATCATGGAAACAGAATGCCTAGTGAGATTGTAAGTAGGTATGTTTAATTTGATTTGTCTCCCAAGTATGACCCCAATGGAGTAAAGGACCTGATGGTTGAAAAAGTGCAGATTAAGACTAGGTAGCTTAAACCATATAAGTACTGTAGGTGGTTCTTGGTTTGAATCGAATTCTGGAGACCACTTGAGCAACTTCATAGATTGTCCTTCAATGTTGAGGTATTTCCTTAAGAAAATCTTGGCATAGTCTTCGTCTTTGGTAAATTGAATCACACAAGTCTCTCATCAAAGAGACCCACCTTCCATTGCCCTACTAATTTAAGTTCTTCAAATTTTTTTCTAATAACCTCTATTTTGGGACGCCCTAGCTGAAATTTCTCAATAAGTGTAAATTTGTACATGTTGGACAGAGTAGAGACTTCAATATCTGAGAAGAGGAGAACTGCTTTGCCAACCTTCCTACTAACAAATGAACAGTCGTCTTTCCCTTCAAGGGAATCATTGTAAAGTCGAGGAAACATCATATGTTCGGCATACTTCACCGAATCCAACCTTTTCCAAGCACTTCAACAAAGGACGCTTTGCCAAAGTACTTAGTCAAGGGAGGAGGAAAAAAAGTCGCCATAGAAGCAAGGAGACAGTAACTAAATAAGAAAAAATGAAAGCTAGAGCTCAAAAAATGGTAATAGCACCAAAAAATAATTACAGAATAGCTGGAACTCTAACTAATATTGTGAACACTAAGCAAACCACAAAGAGTAAAAATCTCAACTGGAACTGGGAGAATCACCATGGATTCACCAAGAAGGGAAGAAACCCTAGCAGAGCGTATGCCATATATATATATATATATATATATATATATATATGTCTTTATATTATTTCACAGTTTCCTGAATTATAAAAGAAAATAATATGAAAAAGCAAAAATATTGGGCATGCAAATAAGGAAAAATTAAGCATATTATTATATTTTCTTAGCTTTTATTGTTTAGTCACAAATCTTTAAATCCTTAGTTACACATTTCCTTTATATTGAAATACATGCGAGTATTGGATAGGACATGGGTCTTCCACTTTTTGTATCTGTCATCTTCATTTAGGCTTTCAAAACTCCTTTAAAATTAATTCTTAATACAGGGGCGGCTCTTAAGCCAATCCGATCCGGACCACCGACCAGTTCAATGATTCGACCGGCGGTTCACGGTCGAACTGGCCAGTTCAGTCCGGTCTTCTAAACCTTGCTTTTTTATTTGTCATGCTTATGGAAGAGATTTTGCTCTCAAAAGGTGGGTATATTACTGACCAACGTGTCTATCATCATATTTCAATTAGACGGTAATTGTTATTGAACTTGCCTGGCTTAAGACTCGGTCTCGAAAAGATAACAAGTATGAAGTCATTGACAATAACCATCTAGGATGTTTAAATGTGGCAATTACAACACATCATACCATAAAAGATTCCATTATAATTATCTTAGTGATGAAAAATCAAAATTTAATTGGTGGATTCATTAAATAAAAGTATGGAATGTTTAATGTCATTTAAATGGGTTTAATAGAAATAAACAATAATGTATTTTCATTTTACGAATCAACTTAGCTCTCTTTGAGCATTTTTTCTATTGCTCCAGCTAAACAATAATGGATTCATTAAATAAAAATATAAAACCTTAGGTGTTAAATATTTAAACATATAAGAATTGTGTGGTATACATGTAAATGTCCTATTTTGGGTTAAAAAGTTATCCTGTTAAATTATCACCAAACATGCTTTTTTTATCCAAGTCTTGCCTCATCAAATATTCATCAATGTTATGATTGATTTGCGCTTTATCATACAAATTTAGCAAATATTGACATCAACCATGATTTACTTTCAGCTTGCCTTAGATTCGAAATATGTAATTTTTTCTATATATATATA